TGGTTGAATCCGTTTGGTGCGTGCCGTTAGTGTAGAGATGCCATCGATTGATGTCATGCGTCTCTCTTTGTGGGCAGAAGTCCAGTGCTAACTTCGCTGCTAGATGGAAGTGCTCCGGCTCTTCTGTGTCGTTGGATTGTGTCAAGAGTGTGGGTAGGGATGCGCGTCGTCGAAAAGTGACGGGTGGTTCGCTGGGAGTGAATGGCGTCTTTATTGTAGCTTGGTGCTGGATGTCCCCGTGTGGTGTTCTCTCCGATTCCTCCTTCCCTTTCATTTTTTGTGGGTGCCAGTTGGAGGTCGCGTCCTCGCACGCAGCCTCGCGCTCCCTCGTGCGGGTCTCCTTTGGGTCTGTGGTTGGGCTGAGCTCATGTGTCTCCTTGCGTTCACCTAGTGTGTTGCTCGTTCTATGGCTGCTGGGCTCAGTCGGTGTACTTCTGCAGTCGCATCGGCTGTGGTGCCTGACACCGTGAGAGCATGGTCGGACTTGCTACGAGTGTTCACCACGCTGCTGTCGCCATCCATGTCCTCTCTAGTCGAAAAAGAGGCCCTGCTCGGCGCGTGCATTCCGAATGTTGCCATAGCTAGTGTCGGCCGCTGAATTCTGGGCTCCTCAAGGGTGCTAGTGGGAGCGTTTGTAGTCGGGTGAGGCTAGGCTGTCTCATGTAGATCGCGGGCGGGTGCAGGCTCTGTGCCCCCGCTCCCCCCGTTGGTGCTTCGTGTTTGACCTCCCTCCCAGGTCGGAGTCGACGTCGCCGTCTCCAAGGGGGATAGGTTTGCTCGTGTGGTCGTCGTCTGTCGGGAACGTCGAAGCGTGGCCTCCTCCTCGCCCTTTCTGCTTTGGTGCTGCTCGCCCTGGGTCTTGCCGTCGTCTTGTCCCCACCGCGTGGCCTGGGGCCTTGTGACTTGGATCTTCTGGTGTGCCCATGTATTGGCTTGCTGCATGTTCAGGCTTCCTCGGCTCGCTTCGTGCTGGCCGGACTAGCGGTCCCGCCCCCCGTACTGATGCTGTCGGGGTGAGGTCGCCGATGTGAGTCCTCGTGTCCTCCTGTTTTCTCTCAGGCGTGTCGATCCTGAAGTGCCACTGGGTATGTGGATTCTCGTGGAGAGGCGAGGGGCTCCCCGTTCCCCGTGCCCGTTGGCACCGTGGGCGAGCATACCTTCGTGTGTGACCTTGATCTCTCCTTTGGAGTCGGTTGCTCCGCTGGGATCGACCCCCGCGATCTGCTGGTCCATCGGCGGTCGGAGCGGCTTGGGTACGGTGTCGGAGTCGATTGGAAGACTTGGGGTGGCTTTGGCGTGTCGTCCAAGTGGCTACCACGTCGTCCATTGGGGTGGGTGCCGCTGTGCAGTCTTGGTCGTCTTTCCTGGGTGTCTCTGTAGCCGCGGAGTCGTTCTGTTTTCGGTCGGTGTACGTGTCGTAGAGGATCTCGGCTTCCTCAAGTGGTCGTGAGCTCCTGCTCTCTCCTCAGTGCCGCCTGGTACTCGTTGTGGTTGTTGTTGGCCTTGATGGTCGCCCTCTGGATGTTCTCCTCCTTTCTGGCGACCCTTTGCTTCCATCCTGTCCAGTACCCTCTGACTTCGTTGATCTCAAGCTTGGCCGCTGCCAGCGCCTGTTGGTCGTGGTGTGCTTGGTGCTCCGCAAGCTCCTGTAGGCGGGTCGTGTCGTCGTTCTTCTTCGCGATCATCTCGTACGCACGTTCTTCGCAGGCTCTATGTCCGTGTAGTAGCTTTTGTGCTTGATCTTGTGCCCCCATGAGCGCTTGCTTTTGCCTCTGGACCTCCACGTGCTCGTGCATGTTGTCCTCCCTGGCGGCGTTGTACATGGGCTCTGGTGTTGATGGTCTGGGTCTAATCGAAGTTCTTGGCTCTCGATTCCTTCTGTTACGCTTCATTCTGCTTGTTGGCTTCGATGTGCCTCTGCTGGTGGATTTCCCTTTTGAGGTTGTCGAGCTCGTTCTTGTATTCGTTCTCCTTTCGCTTCGTTGGTGGTTATCCTTGTTCGTCTTCTCGTACCTGGCCTGGGCTGTTTGTAGCTACATCCAGAGGTCGGTGATGGTGTTCTCGTTCTTGTGATTCTTGGTCTCGTCGATGGCCGCATAATGTTATGCTATGTAGTCCCTTTGTCTTACTGCCACCTGTAGCTCGTGAGCCACGTTCTTGTCTTTCTGCTTTTCGTTGGACATGTGGTTGTTTGCTGCTCAAGCTCTGCCCTCGTCGCCTCTTCCCTCCTGCTCGCCTCGGTGTAGATGTTCGCGCTGTTCTCCTAACTCTTCTCCGCATGCTGAGTGGGTTTCTTGTTTTCCAAGAACACCCTCTCCTTCTCCTGCTCCTTCTCCGTCTCCCGCTTCCTGGTCCACATGCCATCGCAAAGCCATACAGACCATACCATACCATACCATACCATACCATACCATACCATACCATACCATACCATACCATACCACACCATATCATATCATACCATACCATACCATACCATACCATACCATAGCATACCATGCCATGCCATACCATACTATAGCATGCAACACCATACCATATATGTTTTCGAATGATACCATAAGATATCATGCACCAGCATATCATAGGATATCGTATGATTTCGTACCCATCCCACCCTGCACGCAGGCCCTGTCTGAGCGAGGACAGCATTCGGATACCATGTGATTTATCAGGTTACGTGCCCCTCCCACCCCTCCAGGGAGGCCCCGCCTGAGTGAGGGCAGTATTCGGATACCATGTGACTTATCAGGTTACGTGCCCCTCCCACACCTCAAGGGAGGCCCCGCATGAGCGAGGATAGTATTCGGATACCATGTGACGGTTACGTGCCCCTCCCACACCTCAAGGGAGGCCCCGCATGAGCGAGGATAGTATTCGGATAGGCTTGGCCCACAATCTTGATGATGCTCCTGCAGTCGAACTGTTGGCAGCGGTTGAGCGGAAGGTCAGCGCCATGGCCAACGACAACCAGACCGAGCTGGGGAACATCTTCCAGAGGCTCACTCTACTACTCCAGCCTCAGCCAGAGGCGGCGAGCCGCGTTGCATCCTCGAGCCCAGCGAGCAAGGCAGCGCCAGGAACCCCACCTGGAGGCGGGCTTGCAGGAGACGGCGCGGCCGAGTCGGCGGCCAAGGCCGCCCCAGCGGCCAAGGCTCCGCCGCAGCGACGCCGCGCAGCAGGCGAGCGAGGCGGAGATGGCCCCGAGGCCCGCTCCAGATCGCCCACCAGCCGTGAGGCAGGAGTGGCCGAAGGGTCTGCAGAGCCCAAGGCCAAGGCAGCCCCACCGTCTCGTGGGTAGCAGTTTCACGTTTATCACCATCAACACATCCTCGTGGAAGACGGCAACACTTTTTCTTGCCAGCGTGCCGAGGTCCACAGAGGTTGTGTTTCTCCAGGAGCATAGGCTCCGTGTAGCTCAGATTCCAGAAGTTCAGAACACTCTCAGTCTCCAAGGGTGGGCTAGCTACTGGAATCCCTGCCTGGTCACCTCTGAGAATCGAAATTCGGGGGGGGTGGCCATCTTAGTTCGTAGGCATTTAGACTCTTGGCAATCTTCCGTCTCTAGTAGTGTCCTGGCTCCTGGGAGGATAGTGCACGCATACCTGAGAACTCGGAGTTTTGGGATTGTCAGTTTATACAGTAACTATTGGGTGGACTCTATTGGGCCTGGTAGGGCCAACATGGTTCTGTCCAAGATCTTGGGGTCTCATATCCTGGGCTCTGGAGTTCCCTTCGTCGCGGGTGGTGATTTCAACGTAAACCCTGAGACGCAACATGAGCACATGAGGCCCCACAAATACCTAGGAGAGATTTACGCACCTGAGTCCGCGACATGCATCATCGGGGACAACAGGACCGTCATAGATTATTTTATCGTGTGCCGTCAACTCGCCCTCAGCTTCGAGAGGATAGCAGTAGACGAGGATGCGATGATACCGCCGCACAAGCCAGTCACGATGTCCTTGAGCAGCGCTACCGAGGACATATTGGTTCAAAGGATTGTTAAATACCAGAAGGTGCCAGCTGAGGTCCCCACAGGCCCCTCGAAGCCCCCGCCCGACTACGGTGATTTGGTTGACGAGATTCAGGCCCTGCTCGAGGATTTTCGCCACCCTTCAGGAAAAGGTTTTAGAGTGCCAGCAGGAGACGGCGAGAAGGCGATCCTGCAGGCAGCTCTGGATCGCATCTACCCCGCCTGGACTGACAGGACTTGGGGTGAGCTTAAAGACAAGTTTCAAGTACCCACCGCCATCGGCTTGGAAGGAGGTCGGCCTCTGCAGTTTGAGACGGTCCGCCTCTCAGAACTTCTTCTCACCTCCAGGAACCCTTTACCCAGCGAAAGCAGATGCATTGCGTGGATGCTTCGCCGAATCAAGGAGTTAAAAAGTCTTATTCAGAGAGGACCTTCCAAGCAGTTTCAGGACCTTGCGAATCACACTCGCCAGCTCCCGTCGAGAGGAGGCCCGTTCAGGACCCTTTGGAGGAGTCATTGCGAGTTCTGGGACCACTTCTGCGCGGAGCTCGGCACCCTTGCTCTCGCTCCAGGCAAGCAGGACACCTTCGTCCAGGCTGTCGAGTGCTGGGCGCCTATTCTTGGTGAATTGTTTGACAGTTATGTTAAGAAGGAGAGGAAGGAGGCGACGGCAAGGTGGGAAAATTGGTGTGAGGAGGCTTTAGCTGGAGGAGCGAAACGAGGACATAGCAGTACCAAGGTTTCTGGAGGAGGAGACGAGGATACTGTCAAACATCCTGATGGGGCCCGCTCTTCAGCTTTTGGCCTACGGTTTCAAGAGCAACATGATATTTGGAGCAGGGCTTGGGGGGTTCACGAGCCCCGAGTTCAGCTGCAGGATCCCCTGGGCACCAACTACTGGATTCCCCCAGGCCCCTCCAGAGATCAATTACGGAAGATTTCGTCAAAGTTCAAGATGTTCACCACCGCTGTGGACGGGTACCACCCCAAGCACTTCTCCCAGCTCTCAGAAGGAGCCCTAGAGGTCATGGAAGGCATCGTTAACACCATGAACGTTCTAGGAAGCAGCCCTTCGATGCTGAAAGAGTTGATAGTTGCACTATTCCGCAAGGCGACTGGAGGTCGAAGGCCCATCGGGTTTTTCAAGAGCTTCAGCCGCATATACTCTAGGAGCCTATCTCACCACTGCCGCGAATGGGAACGAATCTCGGCCAAGTCGAAACATTTCAACATGGCCCCACACAGACACACTACGGATTCCGTCTGGAGGGCGGTGGTGAGAGGCGACATTGCAGATCATTCAGGCAAGTTTGTAGCAACCCTCCTGGCAGATTTGAAGCAGTGCTACGAGCACATCGGCCATCGCACAATGCTCAGCGAGGGCATGAGGTGTGATTTCCCTTTGTTCGCGCTGAAGGCGGCGCTCGATTCTTACAGGTGGCCACGGAGGCTACTCATGGACAACGCAGTTGGCGAGCCCCTCTACCCCACCAGAGGGATTGCAGCGGGCTCCTCCACGGCCACTTTCGAAGTCAAAGGATATATGATTCCGACGATCCGCGACACGACGATCAACGATGGCACGTCTCTCTCGATGCACGTCGACGACTTGGCGTTCGACTCGATAGGATGCACTGTCGAAGCGTGCTTGAATGGCTTGGCGGATCTTGCAGCTAGGATATTTCATAAGTTTACGTATACCCTCGAGCTCCCCATCCATATGAAGAAGCTTAACTTCACGGCTAACAACTTCGAGGTCTTGAAGCAAGCTCCTGGGGCTCTTGGGGAATATTCCGGGTCCATCAAGAATTCCATTACCAATCTGGGGGTGGACTATAACGTGGGGAAGATCAGGGCTGCCAAAGGATGCAGATCGAAAAAGATGTCCAGGTGGAAGGAGAACATGAAGCGTCTCCCCAAAATCTGTCGACTTCGGGATCGTAAACAAGGCAAGCCCAAAAAGGTCAAAATATACACCTGCGGAGTCAAGCCCTCCATATGCTATGGGGAAGAAGTCTCAGGACATTCACCTCAGGAAATAAAAAAGTTAAGAGTTCAGACTGCACGGCTTCTCGGCATTTGGTCGCCTGGGTGTGACATCAACATTTGTTGGCTCATGAAGCCAGAGTCCGACCCCATCTCCCACGCCAGTGCGACCTTCAAGCGGTATTGCAGGGAGTGGTGGATGACCACAGACAGCCAGATTAAGGCGCCAGATGCTCTCAGCCCGAAGGAGCTTCGCCAGAGCTGCGAGTTCTCCCAGAGGTTCTTTGATCAAGTACCTCGGGGTAAGAGTTGGGCCTACAAGGTTAGGAGCCCTCTCACGGACTCCCTTTTCTGGACGGAGCAGGCAGGCTGGTATTTCAAAGGCCCCACGACGGTCAAGACCAGCAATGAGCTCGAGCTCAAGATCACGGAGTCCTCACCAGCTCTCATACAGAAGCTGTTCACGGCAGACCTCAGGCAGAAGTTTTTGGAAAGCTCGGTGTGCAAAAAACTATGTGATTCCGAGGTCCCCGACGATGACATCCACCCCAGGGCCAACGAGATCAGAAATCGAGGTTTGTGGGGTTTCCCTTTCAGCAAGGTCTGGAACAGCAGCAAGTGGAGCTACGATTCAAAGAGGCGCTTGAGAGATTTAATATGCAGCACAACTCCCACCAGCCATCTTCTTTGGAAGCGAGGTTTCAAGGTGGAGCCGACCTGCCCGTACTGCGGCCTGTGCGACACTGTCTTCCATAGGCTATGGCGCTGTCCCCATGGGGACTCAGCAAGAGGAAATGTCGACCCTGTCATTGTTGATGCGGCCCGAAGTTCTGCGGGTAAAGACCCCCTTTACACCCGGCTGTGGATCCCCGTGCCCGAAATCAAGACATTTCCTCCTGATGATGATATAGTTGAGTATTGCGACAGGGTCGGCGAAATTGACGAGTTCGATTTCGCGTGCCCTACCGAGATCTTCATCGATGGCAGTTGTCTGGAACCCACGAACCCTCTTCTGGCCCGAGCGGGCTGGACGGCAGTTGAAATCACAGCTGGAGGCGACCTGAAACGTGCGGTCCGAGGTCCCCTTCCCAGGAAGTACCCTCAAAACGCTGCCTGGGCAGAACATCATGGGCTCCTCCAGGGACTACGCCACCTGTGGCAAGATCCTGCAAGATTCGATGAAGAGGCAGATATTTTTGCAGACTGTCAGGCCCTGCTCACTGGATGTGCCTTTTCGTTCAGAGCCCTGGACGGCACCTCCCAGCAGGCAGGCCACTGGCGAGCCATTCGGAGATTGGATAAGCAGTTTACCATACATAAAGTCAAGGCACACCAGACTCTCCAGCGAGGAGATCGAGAATGGGCAGATCAACTACGAGTAATAGGGAATGCCTGGGCCGATGTCATGTGTCGTGAGGCCGCCCGTGAATATGCCTCCCCCCAGGATGCCGAGGCCTGTAAAGAATCCCTAGATGGTTGGTTTGCTGTGTTTAAAGCTGCGGTGTCGATTTTAGAACTCTGGCCTTCAGCTAGGGAAATGCACGGCACCCTGGAACGAGAATCGAAGAGTTTAAGGCCACCCCCCCGAAACCATAGGCAGCACAACGTTTTGTGGAATGGCCGATTATGGCAGTGCCTCTCGTGCGCTAAGAGCTTCAGGTCTCCCCCGACGCGCGCGAATCGGTGTGCTGCACTCCCTCCCACCTTTGGGGCCCCGGTGAGGGGATGCAACCTTCCCACCCCAGGACGCAGGATGTGGGCGTGCAAGGTTGTTTCTTCAGGCATTCCAGTCCTGTACTGCTCGAGGTGCGGGTCGTACTGCACCCGCACTCCCAAGCATCTCCTAGGACCCTGCGCTAAGATCAAGAAAGCTCAGGTTCGCTGTTTTCGCCGAGGCACGTTGCCTTGGCCCAAAGGCACCCGTCTTTCCCGCCCATGGAGAGTCCTCCACGGAGCTGCCCAGTGGTGGAGGGACCTGGGTGGGGAGTTGGGCGGAGATTGGGATCTTTCAGCAGCTGCGCAGCCCGCAGCCGATTCTGTCGAGTCAGTCCGTCCTGCCGTCGCCGCGCCGTCCCGTGCGAGCGACTTCGAGGAGGAGGAGGAGGCGTCGAGGTTTCTTTTCGGGCCCCAGGCCGACGGCGCCACCTCCCTCCGCGGAGCGAGGGCCTCCCTGGCCCATACAGGGGCCAGGGGCCCCCCGCCTTTGGTTCCAGGGCAGGTCTCGGACGACTCTGACTAATCTTTCTCCCGAGGTCAGGCGAGCCTGGATTTGGCTGACCTCTTTATGCCCATGAATGAATGAATGAATAGTATTCGGATACCTTTTGATTTATCAGGTTACGTGCCCCTCGCACCCATCCAGGGAGGCCCCGCCTGAGCGAGGACAGTCTTCGGATACCATGTGATTTATCAGGTACGTGACCCTCCCACCCGTTTACGGAGGCCCCGCCTGAGCGAGGGCAGTATTCGGATACCATTTGATTTATCAGGTTGCGTGCTCCTCGCACCCGTCCAGGTTTCGTGCCCCCCCGTGTCTCCAAAGATCCTTCCCCTGAGCGACGAGGGTGTTCAGATACCGTGCTGCCTCCTAGGTTTCGTGCCCCATCCACCCGTCCAGTGGAGGCCCCGCCTCAGCAGCCTAATGTGGGGAACTCTGGTAGCATAATTTGTGTAGGTGTTGATCCTTTGCTTGAGGTGCAGCTCCTTTCTCTCGTACTCATCCTTGACAGCTTGGATCTTGCCGTCTCTGCTTGCCTGCAGGTCTTTTACAGTCTGGAGTAGCTTCTGCCGTTGACATGTTAGTGTGTTTATGTCTTTGCGGTGCTTGGCTCTGGCGTCTCTGCTGGCTGTGTCGCTCTCGTACGTGCTGTAGATGCTGGCCCTTTCTTGCTTTTAGGTCCTCGATTTTGTGGGCCTTGTCGAGCGTGTTTCTTTATTGCTTGGGGCATGGCGGGCGTCATGGCCCCCGCTCCCCCCTCCCCTCCCCCCCCTCCCCCCCTCTATGATCTAACGCCCCCCCCCTCTTTAGTGCGTTCCGGGTACCGCCGCCGTGCGCATCGGGATTTGCATAGGTGTCCGCATCTGAATTTGCATGGAGTTTGGTTCGTATTGGGAATCTCATGGGGATCCGCATAGGGATGCGCATGCGCATCCGCATAGGGATCCGCATAGGGATCCGCATAGGGATCCCCGTAAGGATCCGCATAGAGATTCGCATAAGGGTTCGCATGGCAATGCGCATGGGCATCCGCATAGGCATCCGCATCGGGATCCGCATCGGGATCCGCATAAGCATCCGCATAGGGATCCGCGCAGGGGTCCGCATAGGGATCCGCCTAGGCATAGGGATTCGCATAGGGACCCGTGCTGGGATCCGCGTAAGGGTCCGACATTCTGATTTTGTGTTCCCGGTGAAAGCTCTTCCTCCTCCTCCTCCCTGCCCCCCTCTTCCTCCTTATCCTCCTCCTCCTCTTCTGGCCGCCCCGACGATCTTCTGGCATTTGGTCCCGTCAGGACCCCATAGGGTCCCAGGAGTGCACGCAGGCTTTGTGGTGTGCATAGGAATTGTGGTGCACACAGATGGTGCTGAGCTGTTCGTGGCTCGTGGCTCCTGGACGTGGCTTGTGCGCGCAGGCGCTGCGGTGCACGCGGAAGCGCTACCATTTTACCTATCCCCCCTCGTCGTCGTCGTCATCGTCGTCGTAGTGGTGGTGGTGGTGGTGGTCGTCGTCGTCGTCGTCGTTGTCGCTCGTCGCTCGTCGCTCATCGCTCGTCGCTCATCGTCGTCGTGCGCGCGGGCGCGGCTGTGGTGCCGGAGTGACACGGTGGGGGGTGCGTTAGTCCCCCCCCGCCCCCCCCTCCCCCATGACGCCCGCCATCGCCGAAAATAAAGAATCGCGCGCGTCTTGCTCCTCCTTCTGCAGCGTCTTGCTGAGAGTCTCATATCGGTCAGGCGCTTGGTCGCAGGTCGAACCTGGGGATGGTCCCATATGTCCGCTGTGTCGTCGCCCTGGATAGGGGATGGTGTCTCTCCTTGTCCTGGCGTGTGGCTTCGGGTCCTCGTGCTCGTTGTCGGCGTCCGAATTGTCTGTCCCCGATGATGCCGTCTGTTATCTGTGTGTATCCGTCCAGCTTCCGGTTGATCGTGATGTACGCGTTGAGGTTGACGAGGTGCTCGCGAGCGTTGTTTCTCGCCTTCTTGATGGTCCTCCTGTACTCGTCGAGGTCCTTGATCTGCTCCACGACGGGGTAGCTGTTCTTGAACATGGCCTTGGTGAGGGCGATCATGCTAAGTGAGTCCTATGTGGGGAGCTGTGCGTAACTGTTTTTCTAAGGACGACGAGGGCTTAGGACCGTATCATCTGCAGCTTGCGCACACATGTGGCGCTAGAGGTGGTCTTCCCAGAGCTCATGTTTGATAGCGTCCATGTTCCTCATCGGGATGACGTCGGTGATGATGCTGCCGACGACGGCGTCGTGGTCCGTGGAGGTCTTCTCGTTGTCGCCCTCATGGTCTTCCTCCTTCCCTTCGGCGCACAGCTTGGTGATCCTTTTCTTCTCCTGCAGGTTGTTGTTTGGGTCGTTTGTCCAGTTCCACTAGGTGTTGACCTTCTTCACCTGGCAAGTCTTGCACCAACGGCTGGTTTGGGTCGTGCTGGTGGTCTGGGTGATGGCTGTAGTCGCGGTTGCCATTTGGGTGCTGCCTTGGGTGTTGGCTTCGGCGCCATGGTGGCTGCTTGAAGTCGGGGTGGCTGCTGAGCGCTGTGGTGAGCGCTGAGTAAGTCCTGCGCCCTGGCGATGCGCAGCAGGTCTCGCGGGTCGGCACGCGCGCGGCGGAGGCGCCTGTGCCAAGCTGGGCTGCGAGAATGCGTGGTGGATGTAGGCGTGGCCTCTCGCCGGGGAGCGAGAGCAACAATTGCCGAAGCTCACGTTCAGAATATCGCGGGCCGCGCGCCGCGCTTGACCGACGTCGCGAAGCCTTAGGGCCTGTCCATCGGGGGCCCGCGGGTTTGGGCGCACGCGGCTGCTTCTTCTGTATCAGGCCCGTGTCCGTCGACGGACGTGCCCGCTCAGAGGATGTCGTTCAGGTGGTTGCCGAACTCGCTGAACTCCTCACCACCCGGAGCTTCGCTGTCGGCGCGAACCAGACCCTGCGCCTCGCCTGCTGCTTCGCGCCGCCGCCCGCTGCGGCTGCCGCCGTTTCTCGCACGCTGGACCTGCAGGCTTCGCCACTGCTCGTGGCCGCTGCCTGTTCTAGCGATTCCCGCCCTGTAGCAGATGACATATAGGCTCCCAGCTTCGCGCCATTGCCCGCTGCCTCTGCTGCTGTTCGCACGTCCCTGCCTGTAGCTGACGCTGTCTGGACGCGCGTCTCCTCACGCGCGGGAAGGTCCCAGCTTGCTGATGACGTCTGTTCGCTCTCTAGGCTCTCCTGCTCGCTCTCGTGGGTGCGTTCCTCCTCGCTGTGCTTGGACTCTTCACCCGCGTAGTCGTCGCCCTCGCTGTCCTGGTCGCGGGCGTATTCGAGGAGGTCTTCCGGCATGCGCACGCTTCTTCGAAACGGGAGTTGCTGACCTTGTCTGATGCGTAGAGGGAGATCTTGTGAACGATTGCAGACGAGCTGGGGAGCACCGACACTCCCGTCTCCCGCTCCACGAACCGCATGTGTTGCTTCACCTTGTCGTAGATGCTGTCCGCGTCGGCGCGCTCGAAAGGGATGGGGATGTGGTCCGCGTGCGCACGCATACGGTTCGCCCAGGTCATCGCAGCCAGCAGTTGGGGGGACGGCTCCCCTCCGACAGTTGCAGCAACCGCGCTTGTAGCTGATGACGTCTGGGTGCCCAGCCGCTCGCCCGCTGCCACTGCCATCTCATCTCTCACGTAAGACTCCACGAGTGTAGCTGATGGCGTCTGAGGTCTGTTCTCCTGCTTCGCCTCCCTCTTCTGACAGGGTGGTGCTTCCCAGGGCGCGCCGGTGGCATTGGCTTGTTGGCCCTGTTTCCCGCTTGCGCACGCTCTGGTTCTGCATTCGCTTCTCGCGCGCTCTGGTTCTGGCTTGTGCCATCGCCCTCCCGCTTCCCTGTCTCTTCTAGCACTGGTGCTGGCGCCACATCTCGCACACGGGCGTCCGCGCCTGCAGCTGATGACGTCTGGACTCCCTTCCTGACGCCACTGCCCGCGGTCTCTTCTCGCTTTACATGTCCCAGTCTGTAGCTGATGATGTCTGTGCTTCCGTCTTCGCTCCACTGCCCGCTGCCTCTGCCGCCTCTTCCCGCATGCGTATGTCCCAGTCTGTAGTTGGTGGCATCTGAACTTCCGTCCTCGCTCCACTGCCCGCTGCCACTGCCTGTTCTTGCGCATATGCATGTCCCAGCCTGTAGCTGATGAAGTCTGGGCTCCTGTGCTCGCGCCATTGTCCACTGCTTCCAGCTCTTCTCGCAAGAGCGCTCCCCAACCTGTAGCTGATGGCGTCTGGACGCCCGCACTCGCACTGCTGCCTGCTGCTCCTGCCGTCTCCTGTGGCGCACGCGTGTCCCAGCTTGCAACTGATGACGTCTGGCCTCCTATCATCTCACCGTAGCTGACGGCGTCGGGCTCGTGCTTTGCCTCCCGTTTCTCGCAAGGTGACTTCGTCGTAGCCTCTGCACTGTAGCTGTCGGTGTCGGGCTGTTGCTTCGCCTCCCGCATCTCGCAGGGTGGCTTTTCCGTGGCCTCTGCACTGCAGCTGACGTCGTCGGGCTCTGGCTTCGCCTCCAGCTTCTCGCACGGTGTCTTCGCGGTAGCCTCTGCACTGTAGCTGACGACATTGGCCTCGTGCTTCGCCTCCCGCTTCTCGCAAGGTGGCTTCCCGTGGCCTCTGCACTGTTGACGGCGTCGGGCTCAAGCTTCGCCTCCAGCTTCTCACTATATGGCTTCGTCGTGCCCTCTGCCCTGTTGCTGACGGCATCGGGCTCGTGCTGCGCCTCTCGCTTCTCGCACGGTGGCTTCGTCGTGGCCTTTGCACCGTAGCTGACGTCGCCGGGCTCGTGCTTTACCTCCCGCTTCTCGCAGGGTGGCTTTTCCGTGGCCTCTGCACTGTAGCAGTCGGTGTCGGGCTGTTGCTTCGCCTCCCGCTTCTCGCAAGGTGGCTTTTCCGTTGGGCTGCACCAGTGCCTGCTGCCACTGCTCTCTGCATTCACTCCTCTTTCTTGCTGGAGATCGGCCCAATCTTCTTCAAGGCTATATCCGGCGTCTGGGATCCAGCGTTCCCAGGCGCTACATGCGGGGGTGAGAAGGTCGAAGACGGCCTGTGAAGGCCACCAGCCGCTGCCTCCTCATTGACCTGCGTTTAGCTTTGGACTGCATCACGCATTGTGCGGGGTGCCGCTGAGGGTCCCTCAGGGCACACATCTCATCCGTCACCAAGCAGCCATGCATTGGCGCGGCCGCCAATCGGGCCCCAGGGGGGAGGCTGTCAGGGCATGAAATGCCTCACCCCCCGAGGGGCGCCGAGCGGCTCGCGTGAGCCTGGCCTCCTGGGCGTCCGGATCGCAGGCGATCGCGCGAGGGATCAACCGACCGACCCCGACGCGACCCAGATCGGGCCCCCTCCCAGCAGAGGCCAGATGGGCTTCTCCTCCTCCTCCTGTTCTTTCTCCACGAGCCCCACCCGACCTCGACAGGATGCTACTCTCACGGTCATGAATGCTACACCACAAACCTTCTTTTACTCCTCCTCCCCGCTCTCCTCCGCCTCCTCTTCTTCCTCTTCCTCCGCTCTCCTCCGCCTCCTCTTCTTCCTCTTCCTCCTCTCTCCTCCTCTTCCTGCCTCCTCCTCTCTCCTCCTCCTCCTCCTCCTCCTCCTTTTCCTCCTCCTCCTCCTCCTCCTCCTCCTCCTCCTCCTCCCCCTCCTCCTCCCCCTCCTCCTCCTGCCTCCTCCCCCTCCTGCCCCTCTCCTTCCTCCTGCTGCTGCTCCTCCTCCTCCTCCTCCCTCTCCTCTCACGCCCGCCTGCCCCAGTGCCCTGCGCGAAGGCACCATGACCGAGGCCGAGACCGCAGAGCAGGCGAGGTCGGCCTGCATCAGGCGCCAGCCCGGGCCCCGCCTGTCTCACGGGTAGAGTCGGGGCTCAAGGGACGGGGTCAATGCAAGCGGGGGTCAGCCACGGCGCCGGATCTTGCAGGATCCTGCAGAGCCAGGGGTGCACTGCCCTGGGCTGGCGCGCAGGATCCTGCAGGATCCTGCAGGATTTTGCAGCGGCCTGCAAAGCCCGACTAACCCGGGTTTGCATTGACCCGGGTCAGTGCGTCCCTGAGGATAGATCGGGGGGGCCCCCAAACGGTGCGGTGGCCATTTCAGTGATCCGGGGCAGCGCTAGGTAGGGATGGGCTCAGTGGGGGATGCATCGACCCCCAACCGCCCACTCATTGCTGATAGTGGGTTGATAGCCCCCCCCGGCCAGGAACGTGCGGTTTCGCTGTCGGGGTCCTATCGCCGATCTATCAGCGATGCATCGCCGATTCCAGCTCAATGTTCCCCCATCTGAGCCAGTCTACCCCTATCGTTACCTAACATTCACCACACTGTGTGGTGAGTCAATGAAGATTCGCGGTGACTGCACGGACTTGGGACTCGGGCCGTTCTCCGAGGACGTCTCGGGCGATCGGGGCCGCCGAGGTCCCAGAGCCGTGCGGTGGCGGACTGTGCGGTGAGGTCGTTGGGCATTTCGAGGTCACCGCACGGTCTGTCACAGCACGTAGAAGCCAGGTCGCCCACACGGGCCCGAGCAGAATGGGCCGTTGGCTCGCGCCGATGCAGCAGGTCCGATGCATCGCCGTTGCGGCGCGATCCGTGGCCCGATTTTCTCGGTCCCGACGTCGCCGATGCATCTTCGATGCATCGGCGATACGGCGCGATCCTCCGACCCCATCTACAGTCACAGCGGATAGTAAGGATGAGCACCTTCCCAGGGTTATCCTTGCATCCTTGCCCCCTCGGCCCATCCTTGGCGACTTTTGCTGGCCAGCCCTGTTCGAAAAACGTCAGCATGGCCTTCCAAGACCCTTGCATCCTTACCGTGCATCCTTATCATGCGTTTTTGACAATACTTTGGCCCCATCTTGCCGGCCTCCATGGGAAGGGATGCCGTATTTTTTTGAGGGCCATCCTCGAGCTTGCTCATGGATCCTCAAGTACTGCTCTGGCTTGACGCACTGCCAGATGCGGCTGCTCCTTCGGGGTAACACGTTGTGGCCTCTGGCGTCTGTTAGTCTTGCCATGCCATGTCTTTCTCGGACAGCGTTGATTCAGAGTTATCCATATCCGAGCATTCAGTCGCAGGTAATATATCAATTGTCATTTGCGCATGTCATGGTGGATGCCGAGGACAGCTGCTAGCACGGATGGTTTTGGTCGATCCTTTTATGGTCGACGCTGTGCGCCTCTCGATATATTCTTCACGACAGTCTCGGAGGATACAACACATAATGGGTTTGGGCAGGAGGATGTGAGCTCGACGCAGCCTTGGTTGCAGAACAAATACGGAGGAGGACGAGGAGGGAGGATGAGGGAGGAATGAAGAGGGAGGAGGGGGAAGGATGAGAGAAGGCGGAGGAAGAGGAAAGGGGGGAAAGAGGATGAGACAGGAGGAAGGACAGAGAGGGGACGGGTGTGGGAGGAATGCGGGCATGACTTTTTTATGATGTGGGCTCCCAGAGGTCTGAAACCCTCCGCGGGGATCGTTTTTTCATCCCTATTTTTTTGGTTTGACGGTCCCGAGGCTCGGCAAGTGTCCCTGGAGGCTGGAAGTAGTGAACAACCTCCCGTCGTGTTTTTCACGACGCTTGGGGTGTCTGAGGAGGAGGACGAGAATGTGGAGGGGCAGACGCGGACGCGGTATGGAGAGCCCCGAGCAGGTACTTGCGGCGGGCGAGAGAGGTGCGCGCAGAGCCCGAGTGCTCCCGGTTCGTGTATAGAGCCGGCCAGGACGCCGGCCTGCCTGCTAAGTCCTCTGGGAGGGGCAGGGCCAGGCAGGTCCTCGGAAGAGTATCCCCAGATCCCCTGGCGTCGTGAAAACAAATCTCGACGGAATGTTTTGCTGGTCTCCGGAAAGGGTCCAGACTTTGGGGGTCCACGTCATGGACGAATCACGAGGTCGGGGGCCTGGGGACGCAGAGGACCAGACAGGTCTGGGAAGAGGATCATTCGACCCACCCTTTCAGAGCGTTCCAGAGCGCTCCGGGTCGACCGCGGCGTCTGGCAAGTCCTCCAGGCCCGCCAGTTCTCGGAAATGCGGAGTTGTCTCGGCCCAGTTCCGCCTTCTCCTTGCTGCCGTCTTTGAGGAAGGGTAAGAAGGTCGAGGTTCGAGGAGCGGGGGTCCGAGTTTGATGTGTGTTTTTTCAACCAACCATCCTGTGGTGTTGGGTCTTCGTTTTGAATCCGCAGCGCCGCGCTCCACTCCTCCCGTTGCCCCCTCCTCCTGTTCCCCCTCCTCCCTCCTCTCCTGTGTGCTTCTGCTCTCTGCATGTCAGCCAGTTCGGTAACCCTCACACGCTTCTTCGCCCCACAGGGAGCGCCATCGAAGGCCCCAGTGGCGACCTTCGCATGTGTCCGCCCCACCCAGTACAGCGTTGCGTGGCCCCACACGGAGCTCCACTGGAGGCCCCAGTGGCGACGTTCGCACGCGTCCGCCCCATCCAGTACAGCGTTTCGTGGCCCCATAGGGAGCGCCATCGAAGGCCAGTCGCAGTGTCCTCATGCTTCCGCCCCACCCAGAATAGCGTTTCGTGGCCCCATAGGGGACTCAACCGAAGGCCCCAGTGGCGATGTTCGCATGCGTCCCCCCCCCCCCCCACCCCACGCAACAGCTTTTTGTGGCCCCATAGGGGGCTCCACCGACGACCCCAGTGGCGACGTTCGCATGCGTCTGCTCCACCCAGTAAAGCGTTTCGTGGCCCCATAGGGAGCTTCACCAGAGGCCCCAGTGGCGACGTTCGCATGCGTCCGCCCCGCCCAGTACAGCGTTTCGTGGCCCATAAGGAGCTCCACTGGAGGCGACGTTCACATGCGCCCGCCCCATACAGTAAAACGCTTCGTGGCCCCATAGGGAGGAGCTCCACCGAAGACCCCAGTGGCGACGTTCGCATGCGTCCACTCCACCCAGTAAAGCGTTTCGTGGCCCCATGGGGAGCTCCACCGAAGGCCCCAATGACGTTCGCATGCGTCTCCCCCACCTAGTACAGCGCTTTGTGGTCCCATAGGGAGCTCCACCGAAGGCTTAATGGTGACGTTCGCATGCGTCCGCCCCACAAAGTAAAACGTTTCGTGGCCCCGTAAGGAGCTCCACCGGAGGCCCCAGTGGCGATGTTCGCATGCGCCCTCCCCACCCATTTCGGCATACTCGTCACACTCGTGGCCTTGTAGGGGGCTCGACCGAAGGCCCCAATGGCGAGGTTTGCATGCGTCTCCCACGCTTATTTCGGCACACCTCTCACGCGTTTCGTGGCCCCATAGGGAGTTCCACCGGAGGTCCCAGTGGCGACGTTCGCATGCGTTCCCCCCGCGCATTTCGTTACACCCATCACACGCTTCGTGGCTACATAGGAGCTCCAGCGGAGGCCCCAGTGGCGACGATGGCATGGCGGCCCCGCCCCATTTTGGCACACCCCTCACACGTTTCGTGGCTCCATAGGGAGCTCCACCAAAAGCCCCAGTGGCGACGTTCGCATGCGTTTCCCCCTCATTTCGGCACATCACTTGCAAGCTTCGTGGCCCTAGCAGGAGATCCACCGAAGGCGATACCCACAATGGCGATAACTCACAACTGCACATGGTTGGGTCTTTCGCCAGAATAATTTGCTCGGCCGCCAGGATCTTTTGAGGGTGCAGGATGGAGAAGGAAGGGCATTCGGAGGAGGGACCAGCGGTTGCACCAACAGTGCTCAAGCAAGCTCTCCCGTCCCAGGTCCCTCCCTCAACCGTCCAAGCGAACATTCTTCTTCATTGTGGGGAAGGCCCCCTTGAAAGACGAGCGCTCCATTCGTGCACCGTTCAGGTGGACACCCTGTTTTGAAAAAGCAACCGCCCTGCACCATCCTTGTAAAATATATCGAAGACGCCTACGGCGGGCGAATCACCGCCGCCCCCTGCTTTTTGGAATTGCCCATGTGGCCGAGCGTTGTGGCAATAGCTCTGCCAAGGGGCACTCTTGGGGCCTCCTGGGAGCTTCCTGGGAGCCTCTGGGAGGCAGCTTGGGGCCGTCTTGGGGCCATCTTGGGCGTCTGGAGCGCTCTTGGGCTGTCTTGGAGGCCTCTTGGACCCTCCTGGGTGCTTTCTGGGGCCTTCTTGGCCCGTCTTGGGGCCCTGTGGCGAAGTCATGCGAGGCAGCCGAAGAACGTGTGGGAACGCCCGGGAAAGTTGAGAATTTGAGGCCCCGGCCCTGATCATATTTTAATCCCAAGGTCCTGAGTACAGAGAACAGAGGACACATGTGAGCCTGGAGAACACTCCACTTCGCGTCTCGCGGCATGGTGGCGGATAGGAAGTGTCCAGGTGCAGTCGCACAAAGTCCGAGCCAACATCAGGTGAGAGCCGCCCTCAACCAGTGCAGCTGTTGCACACTGAAGTGTGTCCGGGGCCATCAAATCCGGAGAGGCCAGACGACATCCTACTTTTGGCTAGGCGCCGCCTCCCACTGTGTGAATGTTAAGCAGTCTGTAACGGCACCCCCGTTTGGGCTCTTCAACTAGCGCAGACGACCCCTGCCTCGTCGCCGACGCAAGGAGTTAAGTAGTCTGTCGAGTGTTGATTCTGATTATGGACTTAACACAAGTTCCAAATGAGAGCCCCGGTGTAAAAAGGAGCGCCTTCTGTCCATGTAGCATGTGCAGGCTTGTAATGCGAATGTGCGCGGCGCTCAGGCGAGATCCCAATTTGCAACAGGAACAGCCTTCATCCTCATAGCGTTTGCGCGCGTGTACTTGCAACTGCAATACCGATGGCAATTATCTCTGCCAGCAAGGCGAACCCCACATTTTGAGATTGACTTGTGGGCCATCCGCATAAGTGTTGCAAGTTTTATGGCGAATGTGTGCCGCGCAAAATCCAGAGCCACTTTTGAAAGCCACCCGCTCCCCGTTCGTGCTATTGTAAGCTTCAAGGACGAATGGGCATGGCGCTGAGGCAGTATCCGCATTGTGAAAACGATTCGTCCTCCATCTGTGTACCTGTTGGGATGCTTCAGAATTTCACGTCGAGAGTGAAGCATCAGACGGAAAGCCTGGCCCGCCCAACGAATACGTCTCACGGTGTGAGGAGGAGAAGAAGGAGGAACAGGAGGAAGAGAAGGGGCAGGCGGAGCAGTGGGGGTAAGGTGAGGATGTGGTGACGGAGGAGGAGGAGGCAGAGTTTGGGATGGAAGAGGAGTTTGAGTGGGTTGGTGCGTGTGTGTGTGTGTGTGTGTGTGTGTGTGTGTGTGTGAGGGTTGTGCCAATGCCGCACACACGTATGCTCTGCATGTTGCCGTCTTTTGGTCTGAACTCTTCCACGCTCCATGCCAGGATCGCCTGCGGAGACACATCATTGTGCTGCTAGGCCCGCGCTTGCACCAGCATTTGCACATACACATACACATGTATGTGTGCATGTAGGTATGCATGTAGGTATGTGTATGTATGTATGTCTGTATGTCTGTATGTAGGTATGTATGTTTGTATGCATGCATGTACGTTTGCATGTATGTTTGTATGCATGTATGTATATCTGTATGTATGTATGTATGTATGTATGTATGTATGCCTGCATGCATGCATGCACGCATGTATGTATGGACGCACGTATGTATGTATGCATGTACGCATGCATGCATTCATACATGCATGTCTGTCTGTAGGTATATGTGTATGCATGCATGCATGCATGCATGCATGCATGCATGTTTGTCTGTATGCATGCATGTATGTGTGTATGCATGCATGCATGTACGCATGCATGTATGCATGTATGTATGTATGTATGTATGTATGTATGAATGCATGAATGCATATATTGATTTCTGTCTGTAATGTATGTATGTAAGTCCGTAGGTATGAGCTTAATTAGGTAGGCAGGCAGGTCGGCATGCATGTCTGTCTGTCTGTCTGCCTGTCTGTCTGTCTGTCTGTATGTCTGTCTGTATGTATGTATGCACATATGTATGTGTATAGATACATGCGCACGCATACATATGTACATCCACAGAGAAAGAGTGAGAGTGCGAGAGAGAGAGAGAGAGAGAGCGAGAGAGATTGAGAGAAAGAAAGAGAGAGAGATATTGAGAGAAAGAAAGAGAGAGAGAGAGAGAGAGAGAGCGCGAGGTAGGGAGATAAATAGAGAGAGAGAGAGAGAGAGAACGCCAAGGCAGGCTTGCACAGAGGCCGCGCCATCACCGCTGGAGTTGGCAGCCTCCTATTCTTATGCATATATGATTCTCCGATGTTCTCCTCGCCGTCCTCTCATTCTTCTTCATGTTCCGCGTCCTCGAGATTTGCCGCGTGCCGTTATTGTCGCGGGTTGTACGTGCGTAATGCAGGAGAGGGGGTCAGGAAGAGAGAGAGATAGAGAGAAAACCACCAAGGTTGTGCATGGTGGGATGGGCGTCCACCAGCAGACCGGACGATGATGATTATGATGGTGGTGGCGATGATGCCGATGACGATGACGATGCTGATGGTGGTGGTGATGATTATGTGGATGCGGGTGATGTTGTTGATGAAGATGGTGTGCAGGATGGATCCAAATAGATATTAACCGGGGTTTATAATGTTCCAGGATTATTGACCCGGGTTCATAAAGTCTACCCCGGAACATTATGAACCTGGGCTTCAATGATCTGGGAATATTGAGTGGGGTTCATAATGTTCCCCTCGGAACATTATAGCCCTGGTTTATAATGTTCTGGGGATATCCAACCTAACGATATACCAACCTGGGGTTCATACTGGGGTTTACAATGTCCCGGGCATAATGATACCGGTTTTCGTAATTCCAGAATGATAATGATTATTATTTTCCCCCCAACCCCCGGGTTCCCCACCAGGTTTTTATGTCAGAATATTGACCCCCGTTCATTATCTCCTGGAGATCATAAGCCCGGATTCGTAATGTTCCCGGAATATTGACCCCGGGTTCATTATTCTGGAGTGATAATGCTTGAGCTTGGGGGGCGCCGTTTGAGAGTACGTTCCGGACTGAAATAAACCTTGGTCCATAATGTTGACTGAAGTAAGCCGGACTGAAATAAGCCGTTTCGTTTGATTTTTCCGGAAAGATACTGATTCGGCTGGGGGAGGGGCTGAGCCCGATCCATTCACAGGACACTAATCCATAGGCTGTCATCTGAAGATAATGAACCTAGGTTTTCATTCCTCGGTAATCAACCACGGTCGACGAGGATTTCGGAGGTGGCCTCATGGTGTGATGTTGTGGTGGTGGTGATGATAATCGCGAGGAGGATGAGGGGACGGATGATTGAGGGAGGAGGCACGGTGAGATGGAGGATAAGGAAGAGCTTCCCCTCCTTCGCCTTCCTCCCCCCATCCTCCGTTTTCTCCTTGTCCTCTCTCCTCTCCTCCGCCCTCTTCTCATTCTGGTCACGGTTTCGGTTTCTAGGCCAGCCTGGTGAGTCATGTTGTATACCCCTCAGATGGGAGAATTCGGGGCCCTCGCTATTGTGGCCCCAAATTCGCCAGGCTCTTCGTCGGGCTGCTCAGTTTGCCCGAATGTTGTTGGCAGTTTCGCCGAGGACGGGATCAGCAGGCCATCTCAAAAGAAGATGTATGCAGGCTCGGTGATTTTGCCAGTTTGTCACCTCATTCAGTCAGAGGTCCAGTCTCATGCGGTAGACAGCCCAGGGCTGACTGGAAGTCGGCGCTGGAAGACAAAGCAGGCAGTGATGCAGCCGATCTTGCCGCGACGGGCTGCGCTGACCTCTCACCCCAGCGGGACCTGCGGCGGAGCTCGAGGTCCATTTTGGCACGCCCCTCACAGGTTTCGTGGCCCGATAGGGAGCTCCACCGAAGGCCTTAGTGGTAGGAATCGCATGCGTACTCTGGTTCACTTTGACACACCCCTCACACGTTTCGTGGCCCTATAGGGAGCTCCACCGAAGGCCCCAGTGGCAGGGTTCGCATGCGTACTCGGGTTCTCTTTGGCACGCCCCTCACACTCACAGCTTTCGTGGCCCCATGTGGAGCTCCACCGAAGGCCCCAGTGGCAGGGTTTGCATGCGTACTCGTGTCCACTTCGGCACACCTCTTACAGGAGGCGTGGCCCCATCAGGAGCTCCACCAGGAGCTCCACCGAGAGCTCCAGTGGCAGGATTCGCATACGTACTCGGATCCATTCTGGCGCACCCCTCACAGTTTTCGTGGCCCCATAGGGAGCTCCGCCGAAGGCCCAAGTGGCAGGGTTCGCATGCGTGCTCGGGTCCAGGTTGGCGCACCCCTTACAGGTGTCGTGCCCTCGTGGCCCCTTAGGGAGCTCCACCGAAGGCTCCAGTGGCGCAGGGTTCGCATGCGTACTCGGGTCCAGGTTGGCACACCCCTCACACGTTTCGTGGCCCCATGTGGAGCTCCACCCAAGGCCCAAATGGCAGGGTCCGCATGGTCTTCAATAGGTTCATGTTCATTGAGCGCTCCTGCTAATGTCCAACACCTTCTTAAATAATGATGACACCCCCTCTCCAACCCCCTTGATCCCGACTGCCATTAATTCGCCGCCGTTTTTTTTTTTTTTTTTTTTTTTTTTTTTCTTTTTCAATTGTCCCTCCTGGATCATATTTCACGGATATCGATGCGATTGATACGAGTCACCGATTGTTTTTGTAGCTCCTTATGTTGGCTCCCAGAATCCCGGATTTCCAATTGGGTTGTCTCACACGGTCTCCGGGGTGACACGTGTCACCCGTTGTTTTTGTGAGGCTGAATGGCCTTATGTTGGCTCCCAGAATTCCAACTTTACATTTGTTTTTTTCTCACACGGTTTCGAGGCTGTCACGTGTCACCCGTTGTTTTTTTTGGGAAGTTGAATGCCCTTTTGTTGGCTCCCAGAATCCCAACTTTACAATTTGTTTTACCATTTCGGGGGTGACACGTGTCGCCCGTTTTTTGTGAGGTTGAATGGCTTTATGTTGGATTCTCTGCCAGGGCAGTTACATTTTTTGTGATGCCGCTTGGTATTTCGTTTCCCCAGCAGAGGGTCGACGTACAGAGCCACCAAGGACGGTGGCCCACGTTCATGAGCGACGGCTTTCCGTCGGCCGCGAGTGACGGCGCACCGCGTCTAGTGCGACTGTCTGAGAGGCGCGGGCGCCGAAACTGGAAGCTCGGCCGCGGGTGACTACGGTTTACGTTGGGCGAACTTTGGGCAAGGCCAGGTGTGACAGAGTGCCAGAACGTGAGAAGAGCGACGAAGCGAAGTGTAAAGAGGAGAGGCTCACAAGGGAGCTTAGCCAGGATGCCCTGACGGAGTAGGCACATGCAAGGTATCCCCCACCCACGACTAGCACATCTACCCCAAGTCTTTCTCAGGTCAAGGCACAGCACGGCAGTTGCTGATGATGCCCAGACCTACTACGCCTTCGTCTTCTCGAAGCGCGGGTCCCAGGCCCCCCGGCCCTTCCCGATAAGGGGATCGCCCCCCCCCCATCGCTCGGGGGCCGCCAGATGATGTGGTGACCACACCGCGTGGTGAGTCGGTGGGGATTCGGGGCCACCGCGCGATTTTGGGGCCCGGGTCGTTCTCCGAGGACGTCTCGGGCGACTGGGGCCTCCAGGGTCCCAAACCCGTGCGGTGGCGGACCGCGCGGTGAGGTCCTGGGAGATTCCGAGGTCACGACGCCGTTCGTCACCAACCCGCTCCTGCGCGTCTCAATTTGCCACTGGGATGGGGCACGCCCGCTGCCGAGCCGAGCCTGGCCCGTGCCCGCGAGGTGCTCGACTGCCTTCTCTCGGAGTCCGTGACGGACGGACGCTTCCTTTGTTTGTGAAGGACCGCCCCGCGCTCGCCAGCGACGCTGGATTCCAGGGGAGGAGGAGATATTCATATCGCCATCCCGCCCTCTCCGCCACGTCGGGTTTCGCCTCGAGCTCTCTGATCATGTCTCCAGGGTTGCTACATTTACTCAGCTCATTGCGTACAGATCTGTACGGTCCGGAGCCTTTGCTTGGCGTGTCGCGCCCGGTTCTGTGGCCCACCACGCTTCGGCGCGGCGCGTTGAGCACGTCCCAGTTCTCCAGGCACCAACGTTACGAGCTTCTCCCAGCTCCCCGTCGCGCGGGGCAGAGCGCCACGATGTAGCCTGCAGGGTGCCGCCGTCGCCGCGACACGCTGGCCAAGAGTTCCTGGCCGTATACACACGCACATGAGTCGGCGGTTCAAAGATGGGGCCCTGAGGGACGGCGCCTGCCTCCACCCCCCATTAGTCAACGCATTCGCAAATTGAATCGGGTTGTCCGACATGTGCGCCATGATCCTGCTCTTTGTCCTCCTCTCCCCCGAGCGCCCGAGCTGCTCTGGCAGCCCAGATGGTGGTCGATTTCAGCGTCTGTCAGGATTGTCCGCCTTGAACTTGTCAGCTTCAACTTGGATGTTTTTTTTTTTGCGGTGGTGGTTCCCGCCTCGGTTTGACACCTTGGCCCGCCCCGTTGGGCTGTCCCCGCCGGGGCCCCGCTGGCCCCGAGTGTTTTTCGGACCATTCGCCCCCCCCCCCCCCCTCTCCTCCCCCGTGGCAGGGTAGTAGTCGTAGTAGTAGTAGTAGTAGTAGTAGTAGTAGTAGTAGTAGTAGTAGTAGTAGTAAGTAGTAGTAGTAGTAGTAGTTAGTGTAGTAGTAGTAGTTAGTAGTGTAGTAGTAGTACTAGTAGTAGTAGTAGTAGTAGTAGTAGTAGTAGTAGTCGTAGTAGTAGTAGTAGTAGTTAGTAGTCGTAGTAGTAGTCGTAAGTAGTGTTAGTAGTAGTGTAGTTCGTAGTAGTCGTAGCAGTTAGTCGTAGTAGTAGTAGTAGTAGTAGTAGTAGTAGTAGTAGAGTAGT